AGGCTGACACCACGGCACTCTAGCCCGGGCAACACAGTGAGGCTTTGTCTCAAAAAAAAAATTCTCACCACTATACATTTCTTATCATGGTTTGTAACTGTATGTTTATTGGTGTGATTGATTAATGTGTGGCTCCCAAACTCGACTATGTATTCCAAGAGGGCAGAAGTCATACATGTGCTGCTTACCACTGGACGCATGGTCTACAGTGACTGGCAACAACTATTTGTTGAAGGAATGAATGAAGAATGAAATAGTAACGGAAAGTACAATCTAGCCCTCTCCCCTCTTCATGGGGCCCCTTGTTTGCTGGCACCTAAGGAGCCCACAAACCACTCACCAGCCCCATCAGCAGCCTCTGGTGGTTATCTTCCTCCTGCAAGAGGGGTGTTAATCTTGGCTCTGAAATTAAACAGAGCAACGGTCAAACTCTGATAGTTTTCAGGAAATGCGTTAGAAGGAAGAAGAATCAGCCTGGGTTTCCCTTCTCTGTTTCATTGGGAATACATAACACTTCCCCGATAGGATGAACAGTTTTCATTAGCTGAGGGTGACCTCATCCCACAGCTGACACTGTCACTCAGGTGGTACACAGAAAGCTCTGTGAGACAGAGGGAAAGACTGAGAAAGGAGGAAAACAAGGAACACATTCCCCAACGGCAATAGGCTTTAGCTTTGATTTTTCTTGAATACTAAAACTCGCCACTGACGAAGGGAAATAAGTCCTCTCTTAACCCTGTGGGGGCCATAAACCAAGGGACAGGGCTCAGTGGAAGGATTAGAGGACCCCTGTAATATCAGTGACTTTGGGAGTAATTGAGCTGAGAGACCCAATCAATTACTGCTGCAAATAATGCTAACTGGCACACGTTATCAGACTGAAAAGTGACTAGAACAACACAGAAAGGTGATATGTAAGGTTACATCAAAAGGCACTTTCTCCACCATGATTTGCACTGCACTAGCAAGACTGGAGGGGCAGGCAGACAGTCCCGTGGAAGATCTGCCCTGACGCTCCTCTGACCCCACCCTCGTGCTGTTTTCCCTCTCCCAAAACCCAAGGCCCGGCCCCAAGCAAGAGGGCAGAACTGCCCTGCTCAGTGGGCCAACAACTGCTTCTGGAGGGCACAGATACCTCTTGACCCCCAGGGATGGGGGATCCTGGATCCTATACAACCCTCACGAATAAGATAAAACAATTCAAAACGTGAGCCCAACAGCCCTGAATTTCACAGAACGTCCCGTTTCAGGCAGTGACGGCATTCTGCATGGGAAACTAACACAAGCAAAGCACGTGCGAGGAAGGGGAAGAGTTTCCTGAAGTGCATTAAGAGAGAATGACCAGTAACGGGCTGCAGACAGTCCTGACACACACACGGAGCAGGAGCCGCTCTCTAAGCAAGGCAGGAGGGGAGAGCACGGCAGACCCCTGGCAATGCAAGGAGGGGAACCCTGAACCACACACACCCACACACCTGTCTGGCAGGGCAGAACCCTGGCTTCAGGCATGGATGGCCTGGTAACGCAGGCAGAGGCAGGTCCCCCCCACCCGCAGCTATTCAGTGAGCCCAGGCTCTGTCAGCCTGGCTGGACGACAAGGTCACCATCACGGTTCACCGGGCTGTGTGCACAGCCGCAGGATGTGCAGCAACGCACTGCATGAAATAATTTCCGTTAGGGTCACCCAGCACATGCCTAAAACATCCAAGCCCATAAAATAGGAGTGGGATATAAAACAACAGCACACTGAGTGAAGGCTGAACTTTATGAGGTATAAAAATGTTCCTGTGACAACTATGAAAATGCCTGTACTGGAATGTCCTCAGCATTCCCCTCCCCCATTTCACCCGGCTGAGTCTCCCTTGTTCGTAAAGACTTAATTCAGATGTCACTCTTCTGGGAAGCCTCTTCCAACCTCCATCCCTCCTTCAACCATCCCCACCCCTGAGCTAGCACCCAGGGGTTGCCTAGGACCCGTGGCTTGGTTTAGAAGCAATGTGTTAGCATTTCTTCCGCACACACCAATGATAACGCAGCCACCTCAAGTACCCACATGCACTAAGCACTGCGCTAGGTGCTACCACATTAACCCATCTACTCTCATTTTCTCCTTGCCTAGCCCTGAGGAGGACAATGCACAAAATGGATAAATGACTTGCCCAAGAGCACACGGTTAGCACGTGGCAGCGTTGGAATTTAAGTCCAGTGTTATCTGGCTCCTGAGCCCGTGGCTCTTCCCAAAGAGCCACACTGTTTGCCTGGAGGCTCCTCATTCTCTGCACCCCTAGGACTCTAACCCAGTGTGTGCCCAGGTTTTAACCAAAATGAAGGGTGCATAAGTCAGAGACCCTGTATGGTCAGACAGCTGGAGAGAAAGCAGCACCAAGCCAAGGGAATTACCAAAGTGATTCCTGTGGGTACAGCCAGAGGGACGTTAGTTAGATCAACTATGTGATAAGAAATAATGAAAACCAGAGGACAAACACCCAAGGACTCCTTTAGCAAAAGTACATTCAGCAGCTGTCCCTGAAGGTCCTAGTGCCCAGACAGACATGGAAAGAGCACTGCGGCCACTCTAACAGGAAGGTGCTAAAGGGTGCTGCCTCCTTTACACCACTGGAAGTGGTTTTCCTGCCAACCCACAGTGGAAGGAAGAACAGTGTTACAAAGGACACACTGACTGAAATCCAGAAAGCTTCAATACAGGTCTTTTCTTACCCAAATTCCTTGCTTCTAGGTTAGAAATCACCCTACAAAGAAATTAGCTATGTTAGTCACACAGAAAGCATTTATTTAAAAAAAAAAAAAAATTTAAAGCCACAACACCATACAAATACATCCTCCTTTGAAAACCCATAAAACCACTGCACGAACTGTTCTCAGGCTGCTGAAAACCTCAAAAACTTTAGTCAATGTAGCAAAAACCACATTAGGCAATTATAAAATTTCAAAACCCTTTAGTGCCAACAACAGCAATAATTTAGAACAATTGTAGCTCTCAGTTATTGGGAATAATGGGGACAGAAAACAGAACAGAGGTTGGAATGAAGCCTACACTTTCAGCACTGTGAGATGACTCATCTATCCAGAAAATATGTTTTCAAAATAAGAGCAAGCTCACCAGCCCACTAATATACTTTAGGAAAAAAAAAAAAAAAAAATCAACCTACTGTCTGCCCTTCCCCCTAAGGAGCTCACTTAATAAAGAACTTTCTTTACCACTTATACACTGTAAATCATCCATCCCCAGATTGCAAGTCTTTGAGGTTTAACATATAAGCTTTTCCCTCTAGAATTTTCAGCACCAAACTCCAGAATAGGGCCCAAGTGCCTGCATTCACGAAGTTGACAGTATCATTTTGCTGAGGATATCCAACAAAAAACAAGCTACTTCCATGAAAGGTTGCTAACAAGGTAACTGTAAAAGTTAACTATCTTACAGATACAATGACCTTTAATTTTACTTACTTTATTGCATCATCAAGAATATTCCTCACATATGCAGTGGATCTTCTTTTTCCTGTTTTCTAGGAGTGAGAACATATCAGGAGTACGGAAGGTGAAGGTTTCGTGGATGACTTTTTTCACATCAAGGACATAATGCAATATAGGTAAGAACTTCAGAAAGAAGAAATATACTTTCCAGCTAATCAGAACACCTATATTTTTAAAAAATTTTTTAAGAAACATTATATCTGAAAGAATTGCAAATCCATAGGAAGTTACAAGTCAACTATATGTTATATACAGTACTCAACTATATACAACAATTCTACAGAGATCTCAAGTACCCTTCACCCAGTCTCCCCCAATGCTTGCATCTCGGATAACTGTAACACAATGTCAAAATCAGGAAAGTGATATTGGCACCATGTGTGTGTAGTTCTATGTCATTTCATCACGTATGCTTATTCGTGTACCACACATTCAAGATACAGAACTATTCCATCACCCCAAAGATCTCCTTGTGCCACGCCCACAGTCACATCCACTCTCCTCCCCCCAACTGCCCCAACCCCTAGCAACCACTAATTTGGGAACACCTAGATTTTTTTATTTAGTAAATCAATTTTTAACTATAAAAGTAACCTGAGAACACATCTGAGCCATGGATGTTAATTGTACTTCTACTCTGGATGTGCTGAGCATCCTTTAACCTCCCTGCATTTCAGTTTCCTCCTCAGGAGGACAGAGATCTCCTGTTTGTACAGGAGATTTGTTTGCACCTGTCTGCAAACAACAATGTCACAGTGCCCAGCCGCTGGGAAGGGCACTGCAGACGTCAGCCAGCTTCACGGTTTGGAGGCATCCCCTGAGCCTTATCCAGCACCCTTCGGCTGCTTGCTCTGTTCTCACTGACCCGCACGTACCTCTTCAGAGATTAGGTTGTGCCATTCTCTCCTGACCACGCTGTTGTTATAGTGTAAGTGTGGCTTGGTGTACTTAACATATTCTAGGTTGGAGTTCAGTTTTTCCCAGTAGCCCTTAAAACTGTGCACCTGTAGGAGACAAAAATGTGAGCAACCTTAAGACGCAGGCCCTGTACCCAAACTACCCGGCAAGTATCACGCAAGTCTTATTTCCCCAGCTCTCACGTGGCAGCTTTTCTGAGTGAACATTTCCCATGAAGAACAGCATTCTCGTCCCAACAGGAAGAGTCTTGCCTTCCCACTTCATTTTCTGTCCTCTTTTTATAACACAGAACTGCTGCTCATTTCCCAAAACCCATAGGACTTCCCCGGTTAAGGCTTAGCAGGGAAGCCTATATTAAACATATCAAGTCATTTCCTCCCTAGGGACCCATTTTTATGACTTAGGTTGTGTCAACAGTGCCATGTTCACTCAGGGAATGTTCATAACATTTGGAGCAAGTGGACTAGGTCTACTTTCCTGCTAAGCTTATTTAATTCCAAAGATAGCTTTCAAAACCTAGGAATCAAAAAAAGATGAACTAATTTTACATTCAGTTGTCAATACTCCAGGACAGAATTTGTTGGCATTCTATCTAAGTCTTTGATTTATTGATGTAATTGTACAATTATTGATATAATTGTACTACCCTGAAGAATGTATCCATTGTATTCATTTTTAAATAAAAAATACAGCGTTGATACATTTAACGTTGAAGGATACACTGACACAAGTAGTTTTTAAGTCAGTGAAGACAGGTTTATGATACATACTTTCTTGCCAAAATATGTGCATTTATAAAAGATTTGACTGGGGCCAGGGGTGCAATGTGTGGCTATAAAACAAAGTGAGCTATTGCCTGCTGTGGTGACAGACCTGGCTGAATTGCAAGAAAATAAGAAAACAAAACACACAGCAATAGAGAAAGATGCTCTAGTGTTGAATAATAGCACATCATTCACATTTTTAGTCAAAGGACAGTCACAATTGGTTTGAAATGGATTTTGGAGTATCAGTAAAATGAGTTACATGGTAAAATTAACACTTGCTGTTTTCGAAGCCTGAAATGCCCATCCAGCCAGCATCCCTTCTCCCAGAGACAGAAAAACTCTTTCCAAGAAAGTCTCCCTTCCAGGGGAGATAAAAACAAACACTGGAGCCAGGTCTCGCTGCTCACTTGACCTACCTTGCTCACCTTTCTTTCCTTTTCCATTTGTTTATCATGAATGTACCTTTATCCACCCTCCTTTGTATTGGGGGTGGGGGGAAACATACGATAAATCCTGCAGACACTTGGCAGCATTAGGTCCCTGACCGGAAGTCACTACAGCTGTCTGCTGTCTTAATCTGGGTTCCAGCACAGTAGTGCCAAAAGCCAGAAAACGAATTGGTGCTGTGGTGACATCTAGTGGCCAATGAAGCTATTAACGCTGCCTGCTTTGCCACAGGAGTGCCATGATACAGTTCACCCGGACCTTGCCCAGGACAGCACATGGGAGGGGAGAAACTCAGGTGCCCTCTACCTGTCTTCTGGCCTCGTCCTCTCAAGCCCCTGTCCTGACGTTAGAAGACCCCACTCATACTTCCTTCTCACTCCATTTAAAAATCCCTTTCCTCATTACCTTTTGCGGGGGAGGGTTCCTTTTCAGTTTTATTTTTAATTGACAAATGTATATATCTATGGGTTACAATGTGATGTTTTGATACATGTATACATTGTGGGATGCTCGGACTAATCAGCATATCCATGTGTCAGCCAAGAATAAAGGATACACGGAGCCCTCCATGGGTTTATGGGCAAGGGAGCCTCTGTTTGTACAAGCACTTTTCTGGGGAGATGGTCTTGTATCAGATTTTCAAAGAAATTCATGGCCTAAAATAGTTTAAGAGTTAGAAGGAAAAGGATCTAAATTTAAAACAAAAAGAAAAATCTATATTTAAGTAAGAAATATTTTTAGGCAAAAGCCCCAAAAATATTTTTACGTGAATTTATATGTCTTTCAGGGAGGCCACTGGCTTAGTATAACAACATCTATAATATTTGAGAGAATACCAGAAGAAAACAATTATATGTATATGTCACTATTTGGTATCAACTAGATAATTGATACAATTATTTAAGTTATGAAAATTCACAGAGATCACTGTAAATTGGAAGGTCTGTTGGAAGCCTGGGAAATTGACACAGCCCAGGGGATGGAAATGGATTTGAGTAAGTGAAGGATAAGGAGAGGATATTCCAGGTGGGCCCCTTGGGATGTGAGCAAAGACTGAGAGACCAGGACAGGGGCTCTGGGTTTAGATCAGAGGCAAACAGAATAAACAGACAACAGCACTTCGTTCTCTGCAGTGAAGATAGCAGCCTCTTGTGTGTGGCTCCCAACCTCGGCTGCCCATCGTAACCACCCAGGTCCCACCTCCAAGCAAGTTAATTGGTTTGGGGTGCGACCTGAGCCTCATGAGTTTTACAGGTTCCCCAGGTGATCCTAATGTTCAGCCAGGACTGAGAACACTGCTTGAGCATGTCTGAGTAATCCCAGTCACCCTCCCACCTTCGAATGTGTCACTCTACCTATACCTCCAGCTTAGAGGCTGATGAAGAACCAACTGTCTGAAGACTTGTGATTGAGTGGTTTAAAAACAGGAGACATCGTTAAAGATGAGCTTAGAGCCAATCTTTGAGGAATCCTAAATGCCAAGTTAACAGCAGCATGCTCATTAACCCAGAGAATAAAAGTAGCTCCAACATAACATGTTAGATGCTATAACCTAGTATGGAGGGGAGAGTAGGAAATTGAACAATCACATCCTAACAGCCAAGGCACACCATCTCACCACCTAGGCCCAGGGTGAACCTGGCAGCACAGACAACCACTCTAGCAGTCCACTAGCACTTATCCAACCAGGTGAATACTGAGTGCTGTGTGCATCAGGACACCAGCACCACAGCGAAGGCCGCAGCAGCCCAAGAAGCACATCACCAGCTACTTGAAAAGAGCTCATAATGCTTTAAGAAAATAATGCATAAAAATGCTTCATAAAAAAAACACCCCATGAATTTAGCTACTTCTGGGAGACTCTGGTGTTAGAAATAATCAGATGCTCCAGGAATGACCCAGGAGCATTTTCCTGCACAAAGCAGAGTTTTAAATTTTGATTTTGAAAGAAAGAAAATTATTCCAAGTCCTTCTTCAGAAATAATCTCATTCTGTCTCTTAGGAAGACATGAAGTAATTGCCAAATGCAGCCCATCGCAACTATTAATTGAACAAAAGGATCAACGGGTTACACTAAGGGACTATTTCCCATTTATGATTTAGATTGCCAATTGATCCAAAGACAAACAAAAGCCCTGTGGTACTGGCTCATCTGCAAGTTACTGCCAGAAAAAAACATCTGCCTTTCATTTCTAAAAGGCTTTCTGGCTTTGGTCCTACTTCTGCTGATTAACCAGCACCTTCGTACAGGAGAGGAGGCCAATTCAGAGAGAACACTTTATTCTGTGTTCCAGGACTCAACCAGCAGAGCTAAAATATTGTATCAATCCAGTTTGGCTCTTCAGTGGATCCCATCTCAGTATCAGCTTTTACTTATAGCCCCCAGAAACACAGCGACCCACCTCCTCTATCATATGTGGGAAAAAATAGAAAATGTCTACTTGTAACATAAAGCTAGCAAGGCATCATACTAAACTAAGATGCTCTAAACAGACCATCCACACACAGGACAAGCGACAAGAACTCCTGATGCTGCCCACTGAGGGAAATGAATGCTGCAAGTTCAAAGTCTCCTGAATATAAATGGACCTTCTCCTCCTTCCTCAACATCTAGCAAAAATTTCCCCTTCTTTGCCCAGCTAGGTAATTCTATTAGCCATTTTTAATGGACTGGATTTTTTTTTAAATGAAATCAACAAATATGGCTCTAAACTATTCCATCTCAAAAATCAGCAAATGCCCTGAGAAAGCCACTAAGATATTTCCTTCCTTTCAACCTTAAGAATTAAATACTATGTCTTTGACCACAACTATGAGTAAGAGCAGGACAGCCTAGTGGCTGGTGGGAGAAGAACAACAACAGGAATCCTTGGGTCCTGAGTCTGTTCCTAAATTTCATCATCTAGGAAACAGATTGAAGATACCTCATCTCTACAGAAATGACAGGCATGAATTTACCAGCCTCACGGTCTGTTTATAATAATACTGTTTTGTGGCACCATAAAATTATGGTTTCCAATATTGATTGAACTCACTATAACTATTAATGATTGTCCCACAAAAATGTACAAACTAAACTGAAAAATCAATATTTCCCACACATCCAACTGACACTTCCAGCGATGTTTTATCTTGGTCAAAGCAACAGTTCTAATTTTTAAAAGTTATAGGTTATATTGTAATTGTTCTAATACTTCGGATCTCTAATAAACCTTTTATTTAAGTGAGTGTGATTGTATTTGTGGGAGCCAAGGAAAAAAAGTGTCTTTTGTGCTTCACTAAGCAATTAACTACACTCATGCTCTGTCCAATTAAAACAATATTTTTTAAAAACACTTTTTAAGTGAAGAAGCATATAAACAGTCTCTAAATGGAGAACAGCCTAGGTATCAACTACACTTTTCCCAGTTGCTCAGGGGCATTAGGCCACTGGAAGACATTTGCACTAACACACTCACATGTGAATGGCTGTAAATAGGAAGGAGCTTTAATTCTTTCTGGCCTTCCAAGGTAGTTAATAATTTCTAAACAAGTGATTAAACACACTAAAGATATCTAACTTTAAAAAGACTTTGGTAGGAGGACCCCATTTCTCCATTGCCCATTCTTTTATCTTTATATTTAAGTTATTGTTTCCATTTTGTGTGTGTGTAAGACAGGGCTCTCACTCCGTTGCCCTGGGTAGATTGCAGTGGGGTCACCACAGCTCACTGCAACCTCAAACTCCTGGGCTCAAGCAATCCTCTGCCTCAGCTTCCTGTGTACCTGGGACTAGAGGTGCGTGCCACAATGCCTGGCTAATTTTTTTCTATTTTTTTTGTAGAGACAGAGTCTTGATACGTTACTCAGGCTGGTCAACTCCTGGGCTCAAGTAATCCTCCGCCTTGGCCTCCCAAAGTGCTAGGATTACAGGCATGAGCCACCACACCCAGCCTGTTTCCTTTTTTTAAAAAAATCCTTCCATGCTTCCTGTGGTTGGATAGTTTTAATGGTTTGTCTTTTCACTATAAAATCAAGGGCAATTTTAACCTTTTATGAAAGTCATCACTTCTGTAGAACATCCCATAGTTGTCAAAGGGATAAAATCATTCTTGGGAAGGTCACTCTTGATAACATTCCTTTTAAGGCAAGGACCTTCTTTCAATACACTTCTTATAAATTATTTCAGGAACCATTGATAAAGTGAGAAAGTCTTTTGTTGTTCAGGGAACGATTTCCTAATTCAACTGGTTTATGCACCCTAACATGTTCATATATGTCATAGTCCATTCCAGCCATAAACTGGGTAGCTTATAAACAGAAATCTTTTTCTCACAGTTCTTCAGACTGGGATGTCCCAAATCAAGGTGTGGGCAGATGTGACGTCTGAGGAGGGCCAGCTTCCCAGACAGCCAGCTGTGTTTTCACTGTAACCTCATGTGGCGGAAGGGGTGAGCTAGCTCTCTGGGATCTCTTCTATAAGGGCCCTAATCTCAATCACCAAAGGTTCTACCACTTAAAACCATCATCTTGGGGGTTAGGACTTCAACATAGGAATTTCAGAAGGACACAAACATTCGGACCATAGCAGTATATTAAATATTCATAAAGTGCTCCACTTCATGCTAATTTTGCAGAGGGCACAGGAGGAAAGTGTGTATATAGTTTCCTTTTTTCTTTCCCTCTCTGATTCCTTATCACTGGTCTACCAAGGAGAATGGCAATGTGGTCAGAGTAAACAGGGATCCCTCGGGCTCCAAGGAAAGAGTCTGGCAGCAAGCACACCTCCTTAATATAATTTATGATTCAAGTTTTGAGTGTCCAGAGCCAACTCCTGCCAGGGAAGCATGGCAAGAACAGTCCCATAACTGGGACTAGGGAGGGAGCAGCAGAGGGTGGGATATGCCACTGCACCCAGGTCCATCACCATATAATTAAGCTGGGGCCTGGGGTAGAAGTAGGTTAAAGGCAAAGGCAGCAGCTTACAGTGAGTGGTACTGTGCAAGCAGAGATGGGGAAACAAATGAGAGCTCTCCGGCCAGGTGTGCTGTGAACCAGAGGGTACTAATTAGAGTCTCCTATGCTGAGCGATCGGGGTGGGGTGGAGGCAGCAGGTCAAACCAAATCCAGTACCATCTTCTCCTGAGCGCAAGCCCAGTCCGGCAGTACACTCTGCCCTTCCTGATGGATCATGTCTGTGTGGAGAGGGTCATAAAGAGATCTGCAATGCTTCAAACTTGTCCTAGGTAACCACTAGCATATGAACACATGTGGAGCTGCCAAAGAGCTCCCACGCGTGTGTGGGAATGGTTAACAGGAAACGACTGCAGTCAAATGCTGAAGATACAGCGAGAAGAGGAAAAAAGTGAGGGAAAGATGGAGTGAATGTCAAAGAAGAAGAAAACATGGAAGACATAACACACATCATTTTACACACACACACACACACACACACACACAGAAAACAGAGTGCAAAAATAAGCTAGTTTGCTCCTAAGCAAAGCCAAATCATATTCTTAGATTAAGCCAATGGGTAAAAAGTTCAAGAGGACCTTCCCATCACTCTTTTGTACTTATTTTTTTTTAATAAAAATACACAGTGTCAATAAGATTATAGTAAAACTGATAAACTCACAAATCCCTTGTAACAGTGTAAATTATCACAACTTTTGTTGAGTATCAACTTAGCAATAAAATTAAAAGCTATAAAAATTGTCATAGTCTTTCACTCAGTGATACTCCTGGGCACGTAGCTGTAGGGGAACAAATCAAAAGAAAAACTACATGTATAAAAATATTCACTGCAACATCATTTTTAATAGCAAATTTTTCTTAAATGGGGGCTAGAGACTGTCCCAAAACAGAATGATTAAGTGAATTAAGACACAGCAACCCTGTGGAATCCTATGGAATTATTAGAAATCATAATTATTAAGTTTATGTAGCAACATGAGAAATGCATATAATTTGTAATATTTATCAAATATCTCCAGATCACAATTACCACTAGGTAAAATAAGCATACCTATGACAAAGACCAAGGGGAAATGGGGGAAAATACATAGTTGATACATTAAGAACTGCGGAATTGTGGTGGACAGTTCTTTCAAAATTTTTTTTCACTAGATTGTTGTTTGTCCATTACAAACATGGGTTTGCTAGGACCAGTGGTAAAGGCAGAAACAATGAAATGAAAGGGTGGAATCTCTTAACACACCTTTTAAACTATTAATAAAACCTCTCTTTTCCCTTCATCCTCTTACATTACTAGGGCTTCATAGCAGTCCCACACTTCTGCCTAGAAACACAGCCCATCAGTCTGTCTTAAGGGACTCTTCTTAGGATCAAAATCTAGAATGACTAGGCCAGCCCCAATCTGCCCTCTCTTGCCCTGGTCCATCACTGTGACCTCAAACACGCGGCCTTCCCCCAGCTGCCCAGGGCTGGCCAATCCTTCATGGATCCCAAAGAATCCAATGTATTTAATAAATAAAAGGCAGCAGCACACTGCGCAGCCTGCTGCCAGACGCTGACATTTTCCAGTCCACACCGAGCTATAATTACCGGGAGGCAAAGCCGAAAGCAACAAAGCAGCTTCAAGGAAGCTGTGCTAAAACACTCCCCAGTTTTTAACTACATACATATTCTTTTCTTCTCACCCCCCACACCCTATTCTCCCTATTGTACTCTGGAATGCTTCTGAAACCACCAGATTGCAGAAAGACACTAATAGCTACAGCTTAATGTTCAGAGCCTGACTGAGACCACATGGTGAGCCAATATAGATCATTCTTGAGAAACAGAAAAGCTGTTCTTAGAACCAGAAGGAAATTAGATAATCCCAGCCCAGGTTACTTAATGGTTTTGAGATGGGAAATTCTGTGTGTGTGTGTGTGTGTGTGTGTGTGTGTGTACACACACAAGCACTCACATGCACCTGTGCACATTTTGAGTTAGTGACAATGCAAATGAGGTAAAAACAGCTACCAGGCTCTCTAAAGATAATTTACAAGAACTCCTCCAGCATGGACTGGTTTGAGGCACAGTGGCAAGTGCTAGTTCTACGCAGTTTAGGTTGAGCACTGCAATTCTCTCCTATCTTCAGGAAATCTTCCTCTTCAAAGAGCATGCCAAAAAATCCCCATAACATCATACTCTGACCACTCACCCACTTAGGAAGGAATCTCCAGAGAACCAGCCCTAGCTCTCCCAGCCCCTACCCTGCCCTGCCCATTTGCAATCCCTTCTCGAACCACCATAATACTTGGGGCAGCAGCGCTTTAGTCACGTGTGCCTGTGCTTTAGTCGCTGGCTGTAGTGGACTTACCTTCATAAGAGGCAACTCGATGTCTTCTGTCACAAGGGTTATTCCAGGAATTTCCTGCAGTGGGGAAAAATATATATACACAACTGCTCAATGTATCAACTACCCCTGGCTCAAGCTTTCAGGAAGTGTTTCTGCACAGACAGAAGCTGAGGGCAGCTTCCAATTTGCTAATCTCTACTTTAAATAAACCTCGGAGTATATAAATAACAGTGAACACAGCCTATCTCTTGTCTTGGGAAGGGAAATATTCTTTAAAGTCACAATCAGAATAGTTGGCAGGGTCTCTAAAGGGAAGGAAAAGACTATGAAGAAACAGAGAGCAAATAGTGTATTTTTTTATACATTTCTATTTAGGAAAAATGAGGCAAATTATATTTGCACCAAATGTAATGATGAAGGGGAACTGTTCTGTTATTTATACTCCTTCCTCCTCCTTTCACTTAAAAAAATTACAGTTGGTCACTGGCTCACTAGAAAGAACCAAGAACAACTAGATTCTTCTATGACTTGAGTAGAAAATTTTTCCGCACCTCATTGTCCATCTTAATTTCAGAAATAAGAGCTCCCCATAAAGAGCTTCTGCAGCGCTATCACCATGGTGAATCTGAAAGGTGAGCAATTCATATCAGGAAGTCCAAATGATAATACTTGGTGTTAACCAGTAAGCATTAAAATAGAAATTTAAAAAAAAAAAAAAAAAACTTTCAAAATTGCCCTTTATTCACTGTTATTTTGAAAAGTGTGTCTCTATGTTAATTATGTAATCGGCCTCTCATCTGGTCAATTCAACTTTCATTTCCTTAAAGAAAATAGATGATATATGAGAAAATAATTAAGGAAATGTTATGTTGAAATAAAAATTGGCATTTGCTCAGAATTTAAATGGCGTAGATTTAATGGATATATAATATTCTTGTGAAAAGGGGCATTGCAGTGATAGAGAAATAATTTTTTCAGAATGTTCAAGAAACTGAGTTCTGCATTGTGACAGTAGAAAACCTGTGATAAGAATCAATTATGTGCTTCATTCAGCATTATTCACAACAGAAGATACATTTAAAAAGCATTAAAATTTCACCACAGTTTCAAGTTATCAATAGCACTTTAAAGTAAGTATAACAATAGCATTTTACAATAGGTATAATTGTTTGCAAAGCATAATTCAGGATTATCTGTGTAAGAGCACCATATTTTCTAGCATCTCAAAAATCCAAGTCAGTTGTTTCCATATGGAAGGATGAAATTAATGTTTTCTATCATGGCAACTTTTTATTAAGGTTGTAGAACATTATTAAGAACATTTGTAGGGCAGGCGTAGTGGCTCACACCTGTAATTCTAGCACTTGGAGGATCCCTTGAGCTCAGGAGTTTGAGACCAGTCTGAGCAGAGTGAGACCCCGATCTCTACTGAAAATAGAAAAATTAGCCAGGCGCGGTGGCACATGCCTGTAGTCCCAGCTACTCAGGAGGCTGAGGTAGGAGGATCACTTGAACTCAGGAGTTTGCACTCTAGCCCAGGGCAACAGAGTGAAACTTGGTCTCAAAAACACACACACACACACACACACACACAAAAAAATTTAAAAAAGAACAATTTGTGAATTAGAGAAAGGAAAACAAATGATTTACATCGGTGCTAAAGATAAGCATAGGCTCATACAATTTCAGGATTAGAAGAGAACTTTAAAGTAACCTACTCCAATTGCAAGAAGTTCAAAGCGACGTGGTAAACCCCAAGGGTAAGCTCAGTACCCAGAGGTTGGAACTGTGGGTTTCTTTATATTGTACTTCCTGATGTCACTCTGTGCATGTCCACAATGGCACCTCTGCCCCACAGAGTCCTGATAAGTGCATAAGTGCTGCGGTGTCATTGTCCTCAGGATGATATTCTCATACCACATTCAATTAACACATTCTCAGTGTTTTAACACAACCCTGGGAAATAGTGATCCAGGCCCTGCCTCCCGGATACTTTGAACACAGGACACAACAGCAGTGGGCAGGGAGGGGAGGGAGCTGAGATGTGCATTTCCTGACTCTGGGGTGGTGTAACCTGCAGGCTTCCTGCCACATTACTGCAAAGTCTGCATGTACATTCGCAAGTGTTCTTAAAGAAAAACACAGGAGCCTACACAGGAACAAGCTCAGGTCTTACCCTTATAATTCTACAGTTAGGCACAAAAACCTAGGACCTGTTCATGATAAAAGACAGAACACAGGTTTGCCTTTAGGAAAACACTACCACTGTGCATACCAAAAATTTAGAAATGAATCAAACATACTTGACACATCTTTTTTAAGGGCTATATTCAGACATGGTCTAAATACAAAATGGGGAGTTTCACAATTTATCCTAGTACATATTTTCCTATGTCTGTGTTACCTAAATTCAATTTATTTTTCTAAATACCTTTTTGATACAAACCTCTGCCTCAAAACTAAGCACATAGTTCCAACATCTAAATATGACAGGAGAAGAGGCGGAACTTTTCTCAGGCGCAGCCTATGCATGGTTTTCACTTGCTAGTTCAACAAAGCTCAGTTTACTGCACCATGTTAAAGAGAACATGAACAGTGTTTTAAGCTCACCACTTCCTAATTTAAAAGGAGGGAGTCCAGACCTACAGGAAGAAAAAGCTGAATGGAGTGAGTGTGCATAAGATTGTTGCCTTTTACTGATCTTGAAGCTCTAGAGTTATTACAGATGTTATGAGGCTGGGAAAAGGAGCCAGGAAGGTCCTAATTTACCAAGTAAAACAGCAATGATCCAGCCAGTCCTCATTTATAAAAACTTAATAAATATTTTAATCCACTCTAGTCACTAAGAAAATTAAAACAACATTTTATAAAAACACCATGATAGAGGTTTAGTTCTGCCTGGTAGAAAGATACCTGTGTATCTTCCCCTTCAACTTCACTGTTTTTCATATAAATATTTTTGGCCAATAGCAGGGATTCACCATTACTTTTCTGCCAGAAAATTTCAACTCAGTTCCCTTATCAGTCAAGACAGAAATGAAATCACAACCTTGGTTACTATAATGGGGATGTCCTACAACTGACCCATAACCGTGAATTGATTTTAATTGCATACAGAATACAAAGTTTTAACTTACTGTATTCCAAGTGAGCACTGAGGAATATGGCAAAAGTTTGTCCACATTACTTGTCTCTGGATATACACTCCAATATGAAGAAGCTGAGTAGATTTTTGAAAGATTAAAAAAAAAAGATGTGGTTTAATAAGAAGGCAGCTGACTTAATTCAAACAAACCAACGAAAGTTTTCATCGCCTACTCCTCATCCTCAAAAGGTTAACCATTATGATTTTATCTACTGACTAAAATGCTCAGGTTCTGCTTTTTTACAATCAGAATAATTTCAAAGAATTTTTATCTAGCACTGTATCTACCCAGATGACATTATACCACTTCATATGGAACCAGCCAACACAAAACTGGGCTAAAATAGTTACATTTTACTAAAAAAAAAAAAAAAAAAAAAAAAAAAAAAAAAAAAAAAAAAAAATCCCTAATAAGGTTACAGAATCAAGATCCTATCTCATATCTCATCAGTCTCTGAACAGCCACTGCTTCTCATGAAGCCACAAGAGAATGAAATTTAATTAGCTGCTGACTGCAATGGAGTATTTTTTTTTTTTAAAAAGTGCTCCTAAGCAGCATTTCGACAGGTTGAGGCATTCATTATCAATTTACTGCTTTCCCTCAAGCAAAAGGGTCAAGTATTTAACTTAAGGTGCAACATCAGCACACTTACCAATTATAAATTCCTGAATGAGGTCAAATGAATGGCAGGCAGAGACATTCTCAGAAACCCATTGAATAATCTTTAAAAAGTAAGACAGAACTCTGTTGGTATTATAATATACATGCCACTCCTGCCACCGAAGAAGTACAAATATATATGAATCTTTTAAATTCTATATCTATTTTGGAGTTGCCTAAGAATGTATTCACTTCTACACTATCTTCAAGATACATAATGCAATTCTGGGTGGGTAAAGTAGTATTATAAATGAGATCCTTTTTATACATCTTTTTAATAAATATTCTTGGCTGGTGTCCAAATATAAACCATCTTCAACCCAATGTTTATTTGTTTTGACTAGAATGGGTCATGTTATAGCAAAGCACCAGTGGGAAGAGCTGTGGGATACAGGAGAAAACAAAGCAACACAAACCACCAGGCTTGGAGGCAGCAGGCCCGGGTGTGAATCGCAGCTCAGTCCATCACTGTGAACACTATACCAGTTAACCTTGGTGAGCATCACTCTACTGCCATCCCAAGGGAGGGATGGTCCCTGCTATATCAACAGCTCTCTTAATCTCCATAGCCATCCTCACATGCTGGAGCAATGACACTCCCTGTTTGCTACCTCAGAACTGATGGATATTATAAAGGCACACCACCCCATGATGCACACTCACATTCTGTTCCCACCAATAAGCTGTCTTATTCCAAACCTATCTATGCTAGTTGTGCTTATTTTCACAATTAGGTAATTTAATAAAATATCACTGTAAACAAGTGAAATATGGATGCAAAAAGAGTGTCATTGGGTCAATAAAAGTTGAATGCTTTGGAAAGATTCAAAGGTACGTCTCTAAAACACTTACTAAAAAAAACTAGATGTAGGTTAGACAAATATAAAAGACTGGGTAAAAAAATGCCTGATATGTACAGATTGCTTTGGAAGAGTCTTTAAATTATCGTTCTTAGAAATAAAAATCTTTAAAAAGTAGCAGGAAGTTAAAAATGACACATTCCTAGTGGTTTTATGCAAGAAAAATGACTCTGAACTCCAATTAGCTGATGCACAAAGGCCTGAATTTACATCAAAAGGCCTTAAATGTGCATTTTTATGTTTTAGTTTAAAATGAAATTTCTAATGTATGTTTTTTTAATTAACCAGCCACCCATTGGTCCCAACCAAGTGTGATAAGGAGATTTCTCTGACTTCACAAGATAGTTGTAAAAATTAAATGACAGAGAATGTGTGAAAGTGCTTTGTATACTACAATGTGCAATACAAACATAAGCTATCATAAGCTATCTTTATTAAAAATGTTATAAATATCTGCCACCAGTTTTTAGCCTTCGACAATTGTGCACCAAATATAGACCAGGAGAAAAAGTAAATATTTGAGAAACTCATTATTGACTGAGCATTTCTTTGGAATGTTACTGATGTAGTTCAACATTGATTCACAATATGGAAAAGAGAGGACTCAAAAAATAGTCATACCCTAAGTCTGAGGTCTTGTAAGGATCCATAAAAATGAACCACAAAAGAAGAATATGTTGGAGATAAGACAGAGACCATAAACCTCACTAGTTGTTCCCAAATAGAAATAACTTCTGATCATTTTCAACCACTAAATAAGTACATTCGGTGTTGTCTATTTGCTAATTTTTAAACGTGAGCTATATTCGCACCTGGCCTTCCAGGACCCGTAGGCCTCGGCCACAGGACAACACACAGTGCAGTGCCGCCATCTTCTCACAGTCGAGGCGGGTGTTCCATAGGAACCGTAATAAATACGACTGGTTGAAGAGTGCTCTATAGAGCTTTCCAGAACAACAATCCAGGACCAGGCACCCTGACAGTGACTGTAAAGGACTATGAGGTAGCATATCAATCATTTCATTATTTCCTGACCAAAAAAAGACAAAAAAGAAAAAAAATCAGAAAATAAAAGAACCTCCTCTCACCCAAACGTAGATATCAAAGCCAAAACAAACCGAAATGGTCCATATCCATGAGAGAAAAACTATAGCCGTACCTGTCTGAAACAGACTGTGGCAGATCATGTCTGGATGTTGAATGTTAAGAAGATGGAAGAAATGACCAGGTAAGTAAACAGCCACATAATAGTCTATAAAAGAGAAAGGATTAAGTCAACTACATGTGGTAAGAGCTATACAGGCACAGATAAAGCCCAGAACTTCACACTATTCCTATTTTTCTTTGAATTTCTTAAAACACCAAAGTTCTTACCAATGTAATAACAACCTATCTGAAGCCAGTACATTTCATCTCACTAGCCAAATCTCATTTATTTCTATCTGTGGCTAATTTTTTCAGGCATTTAGCCATAGTTATCTTAATTTATACCTATAGTTTTGTTTCTAAGTGAATCATGGCTTCGTGTGAATCTAGATGATCTCTGAGAACAAATTAGAATAAAAAATATCAAGCAAGATGAATTACTACTTAATCTGAAAGACTGGGAATAGCTCATAATGGGAATTTTCTTCATAATTTCTGCCAGTTTGGGGAAGGTCTAAAATTTAGTTCACCATGTTTTCTCACTCATCATCATCATCATCTTGTTTAGAGAACCTTTAAATTGATATTCATCAAAACAATCTCTGCAGACACGCTGACACCTTATGAAGTACTAATTTATTTCCTTGCATAGCTAGCTGCCTAGAATTCATACCTTCAGTCTCTGCACTAGATATTTTTGTACCAAGAACATTTGTACCCAGATTGAGACAAGGTGTAAAAAATAGGTTTCTGGAGAATGGGAGGGTAGAACTAGCCCTTGCCAGTAATTTTTCTAGGATCTTAGAAAAAACAGAAACTCACATGGTGGTAGTGAATTTTATATAGATGAAACATTTAGATTATACATGAGCCAGCTAGCCTCCTTTCTCTAAGAAGCAAAGAAACACATGCTAATCATTTGCATAGAAGGCGTTCTATGGAAAAGAAAGGAAAGAGGATATAAAACTCAAACCAGTTGACTTATAAGTGTCCTTTCAGTCAACATGGATTAAATGATGTTAAAGTGCCTAGCACAAATGGTTGCTATAATCTTACGACAACACTTTGGTAGAAAAACACAAATAATGATATAGTGGGACATAGGGAAAAGGGTTTGGACATCAAATGAACTAAACTCCTAGCTCTACCACTTAATCAGTTAATTAGGGTGGTATTATATCCCTGGGAGAGGTGGCATTTGAAAATAGGGTATTTTGGGGTGTCACATTATTGAGGTAAAGGTAAGGGGATTCCTATTGGCATTTGGTGAGTAGGCTCGAGAGATATTCCATCCCTAAATGTGCAGTAGTAAAAATGTCAGTAGTACCTGTGGTGGGCTGCATGATCTTGACTGAAGATATTCATGTGCTAATCCCCAAAGCCTGTGAGTATGTTAAGAGGGACCTTATAGATGTGATTAGGATCTTGAGATGGGGAAAGTATCCTGGATTATCCAGGTGGACCCAATGTAAGCACAAAACTCCTTATAAGAAGGGGAGATTTGACTACAGAAGAGAAGACGACCATATGACAAGGAAAACAATGGAGTCATGTGGCCACAAGCCAAGAATGACCAGCCTCTAGATGCTGGCAGAGGCAAGGAACAAATTCTTCCCTGGAGCCTCCAGAAGGAGCCAGTCCTGCCCACACCTTGATTTTAGCCCCTCAAGACTTGTTTCAGACTTCTGACCTCCAGAACTATAATAGAATGTTTGTATTGTGTGAAGCCCTAAGTTTGTGGTAATTTGGTATACAATAACTAATATAGAATGTGTTAATTAGACTGATTTGATCATTCCACAATGCATATATGTATCAAAACACCATATTATACCCCATAAATACATATAATTACAACTTGTCAATTAAAAATAAAATAAACTTTAATAAATAAGAAACTAATATAGTATCCCTCATAAGAGACACCAAAATAAGCCTGGGCACACATCACACCCTTTCTGAACCCCAGTTTCATTATCTATAAAATGAGGATTATATCACCAAGCAGAATTGCTATAAGGATCAAGATCACTTAAGAAAAATACTTAGCATATAGCATTCATTAAATAAATGTTAGCTTTTTATTTATAAACATATCTTTCTTACATGGAAGTGTTTGGGGTTCATGGAAAACTTCAAAAAACTATTCTTCAATCAATATAACCTCCTTTAAATAGGGTGACAATTCAGGGAAATTACATGCAATTAATAGCAAAAAAAATATTACTCAAAAAAATATTGTCATAAAAATTACTGCTAGAACAGTTTTAATCTTGGGTACAACTTTGTGCCTATAAAATAAAATGTGCTTAAGAAGGAAAGATAACTTATGTAACATAGCCTATTTTCACAAAGCTTCATATTTCTGCCCTCTCCACACTCTTAAGACCACAGATTAAGTCATGCCTGCCCTTTTCAAGTCATTCCCAGGGATAAACAAAAAAAAAAAAAAAAAGAGGAGGAGGAGGATACCTTTGCCCTCGAAAAATGCTAAGTTTTCTTAGTGGAAAGTTTCCCACATCACTCTTGAGATGGAGGCTGATACAGCATTGCTGATAAGGGTCAAGCCCCAGACCCAGGAAACCTTACATTTCTCTCTTATCACAGGAAGCAGTGGAACTAGGCAATTTCCCATAGGTTCAGAGATCATGTTAAGATTTGCCACATATTGGCCCGCTTAGCCTAAGATATCTAACCACATCAGTAGTATCATTCAAAGTGAAAATCTTTTTATGGACTTTCTTATCAGTTCTAGTTCTCACTTTGCACACTTCTCTCACATTGCACTTTCCTAAATCTTTGTCATGACAGTAGACAGTCTGGGAAATAGGGGTGGAAAAAGACATCAAAGAATCATGTGCTCTAGACCTGAAGTTTTCTTTTTTAAAATACCGTGCCATGTCCCATAGGTAGGCAAGTAAAAGTTGTGTTCCTTAGTCTTGTGCTAAACTGTTTGTGTCTCACATCCCAATTGGCATGAAAAAGCAGTTTTCAGTAGGGAAGTACGATAAATGCTTTTTAAATTTTCTTTATTATAGACTCCCTTAATATGCTCAACCCTAATACTCAGGTTCCCTTCACCATATTTAGTCAATGAAAGCAACTCACTCAAGTTGATCCATAAATCACTAATGGGACTTGGAAGATTTTCATGATTAGCAACAGGAAATGGACAATTTCCCAGAAGCCCCATCCTCTCTGGAAGCAAGGGACAACGTGATGTATTATTTCTCATAAGCTGTTAGGGAACACCCCATACACAGTATCATTTCTATATTAACAAATGGCTTTTAAGACTGCTAGCAAAAACATGAAGCTCACAGCCTAGGCTCTCTAAAAAGGGAGACACATCCCACAGACCCAAAGGCCGATGCAGCTAAGAAGGGGTGTGTTCCAGAGAAAACCTTCTCCCATTGGACTTCAAAAGGGTCACTAATAGTCATCACAATCTGAATGTCAACGAGGCATGAGAAATGGGGTGCACAGAGAAGACCAGGAGAGAGTGAAGGCTGAAGCACAGCATGTGCAGAAAGAATGGTCAGAGCAGAGAGAGGCACATCTCTCCATCACCTACCAAGGTTAAGAAAAGTAATGCCTTTTGTCACGTTTGAGCCAGCACTCCCGAGAGCAGCAGTGAAGGTCTTGCTGTGTCCTGCAGAGAGAGAACATGAAGCCAGAGAAAGAATGTTAAGAAACAAAGAACTGGAACTCCACCCAAGGTGACTCTATATAACACTCTCAACTTTTGGTGACTATGAAACTAATATAGCAGCATCTTCTGACTTCTAGATTTCATGGTTTCCTGCATTCCCCAAAAGCCAGCACTGAAGGTGGATCACCTGTGTGCAGTCTCAATCCAGTAGTTGTTCTGGGCTTATATGCGATCTTGGACCACAACAAGAGGTGAACTGTTCAGGGAGGGAAGGATCCAAGAGAGGAAAGAGACCAGATGGCTCGCTGAGCCTCACCCCTCCAGGATCACTGCCATAACATGCAGTCACTGAGACCCTCACGCTTCCCTGAGTCACTTACGAACGCCACTTTTAGTTAGGAAGAGTAGATCATCTACTAAACTCAGTGTATTGGACTTTACTTTTCTAACTCTTAATCTTCAGGAAAGTTTTATTTACTAGTTTTGATCATTAATCATTAGGAAAATGTGCAAAAATTTTCCACAAAATCTCAAATTTATGCTATTTAAGCCTGTATAATATATATGTCTAGTTTTGAACTTAACTTTTAGTTTTTCCATTATTAAGTTCTTAAACTTTTTTTACTTTGATCTCTAACCTTGGGAGGTAATATTAGGCACTTCTGCAGAATAACAAACTCTGGTATGGCTTGGCATAAAATTTATTTAAGTATTGGGGAAAAAATGTCATCTTTAAAAAATTGTAACTCCCCCCACAGTATGTACTACACAGATACTAATTTTAAGGAATTAATCAAAATAATTACTCCTTAGCATGGTTCAGACTAAAACTATTAAACGGCATACTGTGATCTACTATAGAAATGGAAGAGGTTGGGCATTTTAATTCTGCTCCCCAACCTGTGTTGTATCAAAATCTTGAGCCATAGATATGTGAAATGGAATAAATATAGCTTAGATCTAGCCTATATAATGCTGTAAGTTAAATTTACAGATACTTTCCAATTAGTAATAACTATAAAGCAAGCACACTTTGGGCAAATACCTCCATTAGGATTGCTACACAGGCTTAGAAAAAGATATAGGCCAGGGGAAGATTTATAACATAAAAATAATTAATATTCACCATTAGTAACTTTTTTCAGGAAACATTATATAGGTATACAGGTGTAAAATGTAATGATAAAAATTGACTCAAGATAATATGACTTAAAGTCTATCTAATTTGCTTTTGCTTGGAAAAAGTGACTAAATAAAAGTAAAAAAGAAGAAATGAAAAGTACCTTTATGAATGTAAAGCACTGAATATGTAATTTGTTCCAGAGAAGCACACTTCGGGCTGTAACAAACACACAAACTTCCTAGAAGTAAAAAGGTATTTAGTAGAGTTAAAAAAAAATTCATCATAGATAAGTTTCCTAAGCCACTTAACCTTACTTCTTAACACTGAACCAGTTTATCAAAAATGCGTTCTCCTCTTTAAAGAAAGCTTCCAGTCTTGTTTATCTTGACTGAAAGGCAAAGTGTAATCTATCTTATGGGGCAACAGGACTAAATGTGGTGTGTGAGTCCAACCCACTCATATTCGGGTCACTGAAGATGCTGGCCCAAGGCCAAAGGAGAGCTCTTGGCATAGAGTGGCCTTTCCAGATAAGCACTGACCGCCTTCACTTACCCACCACTCCAGAACAGCCTCAGCCTTCCCCCCTCTCTCAATGTGTAAAACCATACATTGTCTCCAGCAGCTGTCCATCAATAGCCCACAAAGGAGGGCATTATGCTTAAACTGACACTTCTAATGCTAGTGTTTATGTGATTAACTGAAATAGGAGATTGGCGGGTAGAAAGCAACTTGACAAGGAATTAGGAAACCCGGTGTCTAGTCCCAGAGCTATTAATGATGTTGACTAGCTGTGAATTCAAGCACCACTCGAATTCAGTGGATTTCACTATTTCCTCTATTATACCCCACTATTTCCTTTATCAAAGAATCATGGTAGTGGGAAAAAAGCCCATTTCCCCTTAGAAAGCCATTCAAGGACATTTATAAACATTCTGTCATAATATCATCATTTGTGACTATTTTTAATGACAATTAAAACTACAATGTATGGTTAGAAGCACATTTTATTGCAATATCTTGAAAACAAAATAACAAAAAAGAATAACTTTATCAGATAAAATGGTAACAATTCTGTTACATATAAAATTACTGTTATGGTTACTAAGCACATAGTGATAACTTTTCTTTAAAATTATAGTAGACTCACTGGGAATAAAAGTAATCTATCACTAAAGCATAAACAAAATAATAATTATAAGAGTTACAAAAGTCTCATGTACCACTTTGACTGCTTTCATATAGTAAACATATTATCAGCAAAAAGCCACTGGTTTGCCCATTCTTTTATGTTTTATAATCACAAGAAGCAAGAAATTGCTTAAAAAAAAAAAAGATAAAACTTCAGACTCTCTAGGAACAAAGAAATAAAAATTAAAACAAGGCGCCATATTTTTCCTTTCAAATTAGCAAAGGTTTTAAAATGATAATGAATGCAGATTCAGAGTTGAGTGTCAGACAGGAAAGGAATGAGAATATTTTCTTTCCTCTCAATTCTTAGAAAAGCTGATTTATCCTCCTACTGTAAGAGACTTATGAGAAAAATCTATATGAACACATAATCTTAAATAATACACAAGTGGCCTTTCAACAGTAGCAACGCTTTTGCCCACAATCAAGCTCATGGGAACACCCATCATCCAGATTGTGACCTCCGATTCTTCCGAAGGTAGCCAACTGCAATTCTTAGGACAGGGGAATTCACGACGAGGATGCTTCCAGGAATATAATAAAGCCGAAAGGACAAAATAGCTCCCTATGGGCCAAGATGTGACAACTGAATGTCAAATTTTATTATATCATCATCACCAATGTAAAGAGTTAAAATAAAGTTCATAGAAGGCCTTGAGTATTTGCATGCCTCTCATGAACCATGTTTTCTGGCCTCCATGCTGGAGAAGAATTAAGCTATTCTGGAGGGAGCCATGTTTGGATTAGGCTATCTGCTTCCTTCTCCAGGCCTACTTTGCTGGAGTAGATTTTGTCTTAACAAAAGTAAAATAATCATTTCTGAAAAGTGATTCAGGAAATACATGAACTGATAACTTATTAGTCAAAAACCAAAAGGTTGCTTCCTCTGGCTTGTTTCATCTTAAATCTGGAAGCATCTCATTTGAAACAGGCTCATTTTTTTCTATTTCGAAGCTGACTGAAGAGTAAGGCTCATTTTCTACTCTTCCAGACATTGCTGAGAAAGGAAAAAACAGACTCTTTCACGTTTTATGCTAGATAAGCGTAACATTTGATTAAATAAGATGTCATAAATAGCCCATTTATAAGTTACAGCTGCTACCGTTCATGAGAAATTCCTGTGGGAATAAAATGAAAAGGAGTAAAAACCACACAGAATGAAAGCCTAAAATGATTGTTTATATCTGATAGATTTCAAACAAAGACCCAGAGAAAGATTTACCCTGCTCCTTCCACGTGAGCCCTGGATCCCACTCCATCCCTGCCTTCCAAGCAAATTCACTCTACCAGTTATTCCTCTCTTCTGTGTATTTTTCTTTTCCCTCTAAGTATATCCTGTATATATTGAGATATCCTAGAGTCCCTACCATCTTAAAAAATATTCCCTAAATCACACTTTCCCCTCTGGCTGCTGCCTCTCTCATGTCTACACGTGCTGCCATGACAGTTTCAACCCCCATATGCCACTTAACCCAGCACGATCACTATTTCACTTCAATTCCCCAACACAAACAGCTCACAGTAACCTCGTGCTGCCAGACCCACCTCTCACTACCTATTCGGTTAGCCACTGTCTCCTTTGTGAAGCTTCCCTCTAATATTACACTTGTTTTGGTTTTCCTCCTTTCTCCAAACATTGTTTTTTCCTTTTCCTTTGGATATTCCACCTAACCTTTATATATTTATGCTTCTATATCATATTCTTTTTTTTATTATTATTTCAGCATATTGTGGGGGTACAGATGTTTAGGTTACGTATGTTGCCCTTGCTCCCTCCCCCCAAGTCCGAGCTTCAAGCGTGTCCATCCCCCGGGTGGTGCGCATTGCACTCATTGTTTGTGTATATGCCCGTCCCCTCCTCCATCCTTCCCTCTCCCCTCTGCCCAACATCCAATAAATGTTATTCTTATATGTGCACTTAAGTGTTGATCAGTTAATACCAATTTGATGGTGAGTACATGTGGTGCTTGTTTTTCCACTCTTGGGATACTTAGTAGAATGTGTTCCAGCTCCATCCAGGAGTATACAAGAGGCGCTATATCACCATTGTTTCTTATAGCTGAATAGTACTCCATGGTATACATATACCACATTTTATTAATCCACTCATGTATTGATGGACACTTGAGTTGTTTCCACATCTTTGCAATT